AAAAAAAAAAACTTTTGGGTGTTTCATTCCCACCAGCTAGTAATGCTGGTAGGCGGGCAGTCCCTCCGGACTATGCCGGAAGGTAGGGCGGAAGGTCCTCTTCAGCTTGCTTTCAGGAATCGTGGAAATGGGTGGGTGGTGGTTCGGGTGAGAAAGTTGAGACGGACGAAATGAAGACAGAAGAGAATGAAAGATTATCTGTGGAATATTACTGCCTCAGCGGGGTCGAGGTAAAATGTCATCTCACACAGAAAAATCAAGGGTTGCTGGAGTATATCTCCATTAACAATATCAACATTGTTAGCCTTAATTTTAAATCTCTAGGTTCATCGGTAAGGTAGATGTTCAGACCAGGGTACATTTACCTGCCGTTTCCTTGAAACATTAAGTTGGAAATTCAAATATTCAATTTTGTTGGTTTTTACAAATATTATATGTAAGTGGTTTAGGTGTAATTTTAGGGTATCGAACTTTGCAGGTAACAATATCTTTAAGATACTTTATCTTCAAGTACTTAAATAATATTAGAAACCAGTTGGTTAGCACTTTCACCCCTTCCTCTATCAGGATGGAGATTATGTTATAAATAGGCTGACACACTCACAATAATGAGACATCAAAAAATGAACAATTAAGACAACAACAAACAACAATTAGTAGCATCAGTGTATCAAGTTCAGGGTCTTCAATATATGTACATACATTTGTAGTAATAACTGTATATTTGTAAATAAATTTACTAAGTGCAGTTATTCGTGTTATTCATCAGTGAGGTAAATTACTTGCACTTACAATCCTTCCAAAAAATTCGTGTGCTCCCTCATAGGAGAAAGAAGTGGCGCTGCAGCGCAAAATAAATAAAACACCCACAATAAGAATTTTTTATCCTTTACTTTTTACGAGAAATAATGGCTTATTTACGAAGCGATTTCAAGCAATACAGCATTAATCCTTATCCAATTAAGTACTTTTAAATACATTGTGCATTTAATATAGATCAATATGGCCCTTTACAGCATGTAATTTAAATGAATACTTTCGAAGATATTACAGACTTAAAATGCAGGAACATAGCGGTTGCGGCGGTACCGGCCGGTTTGTATTGTCTAATGACAAAAAAGCTGTGATTGTTGTATATAAAGACATTCTATAGTATATTTACTATCAGCGTTGCACCCGTGCGAAGCATAGTGTACAAATAATACCATTAAATCAATTCCTTAACCCCTATCCCGTTATGTTTGAAGAAGGTTTACTTCAGTATCGTGTTGTATAATTACACGTTGTATTTTTTTAATGTGGCGTAATTGGTAAAGTGAAACATTTTGGACAAATCTCGATTTCCGTACTGATGAGGCAAATCAAATAAGGCGAACTGGTCTTTTTCTCATGTTGAATGTGTAAATGCATGTCTTTTTTATCTTACGGGTTCTATTTGGGGAGTGTGATTAGTTGCAATAAAAGAAAAACAAACCTGAAGTTTGTCGTTGATATACCGTAGCACCTGCATAATAAGAGTGGTTTTGTCCATAGTGTGTTTCTGAAATAAGTAGCAAGCTTTGAAGGGCGTTAACTAGATGTAATAGGGAAAAAGGAATGACTCGCCGGTAGCCCTATCCTTCCATTAGAAGTAATTAAACACACGCCCATGTACCGCAAAATCGTCCGGCATTTGACGTATTTCGTTTGCAGCGATCATAGATGGTCGCGCAAATCCTTAGCGTTCTGCACTAGCGTTTGATACACGTCCTGTTACATATGTAACCCCATAAACAGAAGTGAAAGGGATTTAGATCAGGACTATGCGCCGGCCACGGTACCCGTACGTCTAATCTAATGTCTAGGAAAATGTTTATTTATAAATTTACGTTACGGCCAATGCAATAATACTATAATTATAATGTAATTTTAATTAAGTAGCATTTGAAACGTACTTTAATGTAATTGCCAAGCATATTTTCTTCCCACAGATATATCGACATGGCCCTAGAACACCTGCTGATACCTACCCGAACGATCCCTACATCAATGAAACATTTTATCCAGTAGGATGGGGGCAAATTACTAATGTAAGTTTATACCTTCAGTTGATAACAATCAGTTAGAAGATTTGAAAATAAACAATGTTCTATTCTATAATAAAAAAACTGTAAACAATTGGGATCCGTCAAATAGGAGGAGCCTAAAGAACATGGCGGTGATGAGGAAAAACTTCTCAAAGTCTTTTAGTCTACTACAATTGCATTGTTCAAATGTGTTGTACCATTTACTACTGAAAATATAAACGAAATGTTTTTTTATATTTGAAGACATATTAAAGGTTTTAACACTTGTTTTAGACTCGCACTACTATTCATGATTGAACAAAATTTCTGGCAGGTACCGTATGAATAAGTATGCTTAATGAACAAGAGTTGAGAGTATAATGAGCTTTTTTCTCCCTACCTACGATTTTGCCAGCGCGCATCCAAGACACTGAAAAGGGCACATCTTTAGAGAAAGTAAATGAATTATAATTGTGGATAATAAAATATTATTAATATTGGCAGAACATGTGATTGAGGCGACACAATCCCTCAAAAAAGTAATTTTATAGAAAGTGAAAATTGTTCAATCAATAAATAAACAACATACTACTACGAGAAGTAGATTCCTAACCTCAAAATAGTTATAGACATGAATAAATTATCAGTACGAAATTCACTTTTCTGATACCAATGCAAGCTTTAACAGCTTTTAGTTTAGGAAACATTTTTCTTAAAATTTTCAAATAGTTTTCATATAGGTACCTCCAAGAAACAGTTAATTAATAGCATTATTCTCATGTCAATTTGTTTTTTCTTCATGAAGTTACAAGATCTGTCACCAGGTGGACGAATCCCAATAGGCCTTTCAAAATTATCAATTAATTAGTATAAAAATGTAAAATTAAAAGAATGTAAAATTTAAATTACTCTTCAAAATGACGTTTTTTAAGTCGAGACCTCTTTCGCTGTTTCTTAAATAAATTATGCTGAGTTCACCGTTCTTTTCTTAATAATTAAACTTGCCGTAGCCTGGAAAAGTACAAATGTATGAGTTGGGCAAATGGTTAAGAGAGAGATATGGGAATTTCTTGGGATCCCTTTACAATCCTAGTGAATTTTACGTTCAAACAACAGATGTAGATAGGACTAAAGTAACCGCTCAACTTATTAATGCTGGACTATGGCCACCTAATTCGGTACAAAAATGGGGACCCTTAGATTGGCAACCCATTCCAGTACATTCAGAGCCACTTCATCTCGATCATGTAAGTGTAAAAGTAATATATATAATTCTCCAAATAAGTAGATATAAGAAAAACTAGTAGAAAGGATGACATTATGGAAATTAATATCAAATAGAGGAAAGAGTGAATGTAAAGAAAATGAAAGATTGAAAGAAGTTACTGATTTTAGGTATCTAAGAAGTCAGATAAATAGGGCAGGGTCGACTCGTCTTCAATAGAAAGAAGTCACTTCTATGCTCGCGAACGATTAATTTAGAAAATCGAAAAAGATTTTTAAAGGTATTTGTTTGGAGCGCGGCTCTGTACGGGTGCGACGACATAGACGGTGGGCGCGGCGGAAAAGAAAAGGTTAGAAGTGTTGGAAATGTGGTGTTATAGGAGAATGATGAGGAGACCGAGGATAAGGAAGGTTAGAAATAAAGAGGTATTAGAAAGAATAGGAGAACAGAGTACTCTATGGAAGTCAATAATAAATAGGTGAGATAGATTGATAGGACACCTTCTTAGGCATGAGGGTCTAGTCAGAGGTATATTAGAGGCAGAAACAGGAGTTAAAAGGAGTAGAGGTAGAGCTAGATTAGATTACTGTTCGCAAATAGTTAAGGATGTGGGATGTTCTAGTTTTAGGGAAATGGGAAGATTAGCTTATTATAGGAAGGAGTGGCGGTGCGTGTCCAACCAGTCTTAGGACTGACGACCTTATGATGATGATGATGATGATGATGACGATGATGACGAGGGGAGATAGGTTAATAGGACCCTAGTCAGACATGAAGGGCTAGTTAGAAACATACTTATAAAATAAGCGGAAATGGAAGTGAAACGGGAGCAGAGGTAGAAATAGATTAGATTACTGTACGGATATAGACATAAGTTGGAGTCGATCTAAAGACCTTATTGTGATGACAAAGTATTCAGAATTATATTATACCTACTTGTTACATAGTCTTGCCTGCAGTATATCCTACTTATCCTAACTATAAATATTGAGATTCTGGTTTTCATTGTTTGTCATGAGTTCGCTAGGTATCTCGGTGCAGATAGACACAATTGTTTTAATATTTTAGTAAGATTACCGTATTCTTGATTTTTGGGTTTGCTGCCAAACGTTTTAACTGATTTCAAATACATTATTTTTATAGTTGCTGTTAGTGAGAAAACCTTGTGCTCAATACAGCTTGGAATTGGAGCGACTGGAGAAATCTGACGAAATTCAACTGATGTTGAACGAATACAAAGATCTGTTTAACAATCTTACCGCGATTACTGGAAAGAATGTGAAAACATTTGATGATGTGCAAGACATATACAGCACTCTTATTGCGGAAGTAAGCGCTTTTTTATGAATCAAAATACTTCTAGTACATCTTACGTATCGACAATGCAGATTGTCACAGGAAATAGCGTCAGACCAAAGCAGTATCTAACTCAGAAGGGTTTCAGATCTGCCCAAAATAAGATTCTTGATAGTTTGAGAATTATCACTTCTTTTTTTAATGGTTTCACCCAACTCAAAAATATGAACTTTTTTCTGGTTTTTACGTACTACTAGAGACTCAATTCAAAATTATGAACCTCTTTCCGGTTTTTACGTACTACTAGAGGTACTTCAAAATCTCATGGGTCTTGAAATGCATTGAGCATGGACATTATTAGATTTATATCGTAAAACATTGCCTAGACTATTAACCACGTGCCGTGCCATACAATTAGGAACGGACCTCCAGGTCAACGTTTTTTAAGAGGCAGAAGCTTATAGCCTAAATGAATTTCGGGGAACCTCTACCTGCTGTTCGTTTCAAGATGTTAGAGATATACCCCTTCCCTTTATTAGGATGCGCCGTAGCATAATTTCAAATTCAATCATATTTGTCTGCGGAGCTCATTTCTCCACCGATCATCGAGCGAGAACTAGACAAAAGTGTACAGTACCATTTGCAAAATTATTTAAACTGCCTCGTTATAATTTAAGAATATGCTTTATTTAAAAGCATATTTAGCCAAAAATAATAACAAGTGAGTTAACTTAACGTTCTACACACCTATAAAACTTTTGCTTTGTTTTCTATTGTTAATTTATATACATTTTTGTTTTAAGAAATTGCTAAACATTTTCGTGTAGTACTGTACATTTCTAGCCGATCTCCTAAGACCGCCTATCGAGAGCTCTGCTCGTTCAAGCTTGTTCCAACTATTTCTGTCTTGCTCACGCCTAGTGTGTATTCTTTCTATCTTTGTGCAGATTTCTTCAAGGTCACAATTATGATAAATTGAATTAGACCGTACATTGTTATAATATGTCTCGTCTCGCCTGTTTCTTTTTAATCACCACCAACCACTGGTATGGGAATTTGAAGGAAGCTATACGCCCAACAAACCATTTTACCACAGTGTAGGTTAAGTTAGGTAAGTTAGTTGAACAGCTTTCCCACCAGATAATTTTTTTTATATTGTCATTACATTACTCTCATTACATTTAGCATAATTAATGTCTAAAAGGGTTTAAAAAATTCATAAATGAATTATGTTACAATGAGTCAAATGGAAGAAAAAAATATTGATCTCCAAGCCATCAAATAGACTTGGCGTAATATATATTACCAGTAGAGATGTTTTGATTGGTCTGTTAGGTTGCAACTTTTATGCTTCTGTCTGACACTTTTTCTTGAGGTGCTCTGTTTATTGTTGTATCAAAAATAGTCCAAAAGCTGGATATGAGATTGCAACGTCATCTGGAATACGAACTTTACGGTAACATAATTGTATAATAGCGGGGAGAGGGATTACACTTTCCAAGCAGATTAAACAGACTAAACATGAAATATTTTCGTTGATTCCCATTATCCCGAAAAAATTTAAGGCAGAAGTGGTATATGTTTTCGAAAAGGAAATCAGTTGATGGCATTGAATGTGACTTTGGCTTTGTTCATGAGACCATTTGAAGGTCAAATCTTTTTGAAGTTATTGAAGTTATACTTCTTTAGGCGCGTTATGAAAAACTGATGAGAGTGAAATTTCAAGATGCGCGCGCATCACTGTAACACAAAATTAACAGGATGAAGTTGCCCACTCAACCGAATTCATTAAGTCTCGGAAAAAAGCTACCAACGAAATAGAAATAAAACCTCTCTTAGTCGCGCATGTTGGTACGCTTGTCGCCTCTGATCACTGTTTTCATATTTATTTATAATATTTATCCACATGGTTTTAGTTTTTACAGTCACAACACGTGTTTTATTTTCATACAAGTGCGAATTATATATGTGGCAATAAAATATATTCAGTAGTGATTTAAATTGAATATTTGGATTAATATTATTTACTATTTGTGAATATTAGTGAAAAAATTGTGCTAAAATACTTTTTTAAGTGCTCCAATATAATTGAGGTTAGTTATCCCTATGTATTATTTATTGATATAAATTAAAATATCATTATTTAATATAATTAATACTAAATATTATTAAATTATCAATGTTGAATATTTATTATTGGTTATTTAATATTTACAAAATAAAGAAATAAATTTAATAGAACATTTAATAAAAAGTTCGTGACAAAAATTTAATAGATTATTTAAATATAATGTAAGACATCCGTTATTTGTTTTATTGTTTTTTATTACATACGTCTTTTCTTTATCATTGTGTGACAGAAGATTTTGACATGTTGTGNTCGTATTGGTGGAGGGTAAATGTTCTTTTGCTAGGTGTACCGCTGCCATGTTATAAAAGCATACTTTTCACCGAGCAATCAAGACAAGAAAAATAAATTGAGAAACGTCAAATAAGTTTCGATGGTAACGAGAAACAAATACGTTCGGTATAGAAGAAAAAATTTTCAACAGATTAGTATTTATGTGACGTGTATCGGGTGCGTACTTTAGGAAGGACGATAGAAGTTTAGAAGACATTTAATTAACGTTTGTGAAGGAAAGTGGTGCAGCTGAGACAGCCGATGATAGGATATTCTAGAATTATAACAATTTTGTTTTTTTCACTAAGATAAACAACTTTAATTTTTTGCATTATGTTATGATTTATTCGAAAATGAATTTTTTTTTATTTTTTAAGCTTTTGTAATGGTCACATTCACAATCATACCCATCTTTTTTTTTAATGGAAATGCTTATTTTTGTACATGGATTGTCTGCCTGCTTAGAAATGTACTCCCCCCCTATACGATATCTATATTTCGGATGACGTTGAAATCTAGTGCTATCAACTCAAAGACTACAAGTTTATGATAACAGGAACATTTCAACTTGACTTTACCCGAATGGACGAAAGACTACTTCCCAGACAAAATGGTACCACCTACTGTTTTCAGTTACGTACTAAATGCGTACAACACGAAGCTACAAAGACTTAAAGGAGGTATGCGATTGTTTTTTTATTCCTAAACAATAAGTAAAGTTAAAGGCAATTAAGGGTTGGAATATTTTTATTTAGGTGAAGTAGTGAAAAACCAAGCATTCTTAATTGCCTCGAACATTACTTAATATTATCCAAACTAAGGGATGAAACGGAGAATAGATTCATAAATAATTTTTATCGTATTTCCAACCAATGGCAGCACAGCATGGTGAGTTGCCACTAACCTTTCATTCGATACCACTGACGGGAACATTTTCAATTTCAAAAGTATATGTATATGTATCTATTCTTATAATGCGCGTTTAAGTCACACACGTGTGAGTACCACAATTAGTGGCAAATCTCTATAGATGGCGTATACTACGCTGTCTGTGGTCATTTATTAATCTTGCTATTAACCAACAGCAACTTTTGTTGGAACTGTCAACCGCTGATGGTATTGCCTTTAAATAAATTCCACCAAAACAATCCTACGGATCTCCGCAAATGTTAATTTCTTCACTCCCCGAGGTTGCAACCAGATTTGCGGCAAATCTCAGGGCCTCAGTGTCAGGTCACACAAACCTGTCTATATCGACACTTTCCGACTTCGCCCCTAAACAGATGGTCATGCCAATTTCTCTCTAGGGCTGCTCATTTTTTTCTCAAATACAGTTTTCCTATTTAGCGAGAAAGCCCACCCAACTCACTAAAGTGGGACACCGATTTTTCACTCACACCATTCCCCCCGTTAAACTCTCTCTCACCTTACTCAACCCTCTCCACTGTCTCAACCCTCCCAATAAACCTTCCTGGAGTGCACAACCGTCGGGTTGAACCCCTTACTCTACACTACTCCCAGAGGGTGTCTTTCGAAGATCTCCCCTCCTCGAAGAACTATTTTTTTAGAACGAGTCAGTTACAAATTTAAGTGTTGTGCGAACTAGCGGGTCGTATGCGTTAACCTTATGTCAATACAAACACTGAATGATGATATCACATTATCCTTTTATTAGCAAAATAAACCTAGTATAAGACATCTCTTGCCGCAGCAGCGTTTGTAGAACAATTGCTCAAAGTCAAACCAAGCGTTTCGGCGTAACATTTAATGCCAAAAAGTTCCAGCGCGTAACTTCATAGCACGTTTGTTTTAATGTGAAAATGAGTTGCTCATCCCTGATCTATGACGTACTGATGATAATAAATAAGTTTGAAAAAGCGGATTACGTTTGACAGTTTGTTGATCATGAACTTACTGTTCCTCTCTAAATGACTTTCCCTATTTATTATGAATAAATATAGGTATGTACTCAAATAACACACGTTTGCCGATGTTCATAAGATCATTAATGACATACTGATAATAGAATTGTAATTTATATAAATTATGGATTAGAGAACGTTTGTGCATATGTTAATATTTTCTATATCCATTATCATTAACAACAAGTACATTAAAATAGCTAATTACTACCAAAAGGTTATGTGAAAGTCACCGCCTTGACAACAACATATATAACTTATTATTAAATGTAACGTGTTCCATTCCTTCACCTTACATACCGAGCGGCATGGCCTAGAGGTTTAGACCATTGCTTAGCATTCGAGAGGATGCTGCGTCCCGTCTGCCNTTTATATCATAAGCCTTTAATTTTAGTAAATATAATATACAAATATAACACAAAACACCAAAAATCAAAATAAATCCATTAATTAAATAAATTTTTGTGAATACGAAAGATGTTCTCATTCGTAACTTCAAAGAGGCTGACCCAATGGCGCTGGGTTTCGTGCACGTTTGTAAAAATGGCCGCTGTCACGTGTTTTCATGTTCGTGCTTCGCTATAGTCCGCCAAATTCGAAACAAACCCGCTATGTCGTTTTGTCCGTATTTCCCCTAAGTGTTGGTGACACTACCTCCTGATCAGGATGATTCCAACTCTCTTAGCAATGTAAGTGATTTTTGTTAATTTTTACGGTGTATTGATCCGCATTGAGAGAAAGATCCTTTTTATATAAACGTTTTCGTTCAATTTCCATTTGTCATTTTTTATCTATGTAAATTACCTGACAACAAATTCTAAATCTATTTGTAATCGCCGTATTGTCTTTTTGAATTTCATATTCTGTCTATGTGACAAATTATTACAGTTAATCAGTTTCGAGACTACAAAAGCCTTACAAGTTAAATAAGACTTGTATTTCGGGGTTTTTATTAAACATTATGCAGAGATTGCATATTTTCCATTTTCGCCTTCATATTTTGTATAATGTACTGTTCGTTTCAAGAAGTTGGAGATATGCCCCTTCCCTTTATTAGGATGCGCCGTAGCATAATTCCAAATTCAATCATATTTGTCTGCGGAGGTCATTTCTTCACCGATCATCGAGCCAGAGCTAGACAAAAGTGTACAGTTCCATTTGCAAAATTATTTAAACTGCCTCGTTAAAATTTAAGAATATGCTTTATTTAAAAGCATATTTAGCCAAAAAATAAAAACAAGTTCATTAACTTAACGTTCTACACACCTATAAAACTTTTGCTTTGTTTTCTATTGTTAATTTATATACATTTTTGTTTTAAGAAATTGCTAAATATTTTCGTCTAGTACTTTACATTTCTAGCCGATCTTCTAAGACTGCCCATCAAGAGCTCTGCTCGTTCAAACTTGTTTCAACTATTTCTGTCTTGCTCACGCCTAGTGTGTATTCTTTCTATCTTCGCGCAATTTCTTCAAGGTCACAATTCAAACAAATTGAAATGAGCTGTATATTTATTTTCAGATATTCTTAAAAAACTCCACCGATGTTCCTCCACACCAATTAACTATACCCGGTTGTGAATCGTTCTGTCCATTAGATAAATTAATTGATTTAACGTTGGAAGTAATTCCTGGTAATTGGGAAGAAGAATGTGCTTCAGATGATCCGAACTACGTGCCTCCACCACCGAGTGGTCCTTAGCAGCATTAATTGTTAATTGTTAATTTTGATAAATAAAAAACGTTAACTGATAGTGCATTTCTTTATGATGAGAAATTGATTGAAAACTGATAACTACTTCTAAACCATATAGCATAGATACCAAATTAAAGTCAGCAGGTATATAACTACTCCACTGTTATAATCTAATCGCTAGTAGTCGACTCGGGAACGCGAAAAAAAAACTTTACACTAAAAACATAACCGGTGGGAAACTCTAGGGGAAGTAAGGACAAAATGACAGGGTGTTTTGATTTTGAATCATGTATCTTTATTTATTGTAATGATCTCATACATTGGCAATCATCTTAGGTTCATTGACTACTAGTAATACAGTCATATTAATTGAATAGGAATTATATCAAATTAAATATTAAGAAATAAATGGACGAATCAAAATAGTACATTACGTATCGAGGGAAGAAACAGGGTTATTTCAGACGGCATGTGCTGCCTTCGGCTCGGGTGGCAAACATGGAGTCTGAGACAACCCTGTTTCTTCCCGAGGTACGTGTACTATTTTTTGTCATATTTGTACGGAAAGCTCTTCATTAAATTGATAGTTGGTGAAATAAGAGTAAATGATTTAGAGGTTAGAAAGACATTGTCATTGAGCAACTGATTTCTGCGCATGCCCATAAACTTCAACGCATGCGCTCAAAAGACTTATTTCATTTCTTCCCGACTAAAACACGGCTGAAAAGAGGCCATTTCTTCCCTATTTCATAGCACGCAAAACGAGCTTTCCGCTGTAACATGACAAAAAAAACCATTTTGTCCATAGGTATAATATGGACAAAATGACACACTAAATACGGGTATAATGACATACCAAAATTTTAAAAACAAAGTTCGCACATAAATCTTTTAGGCTTGTTTGAGACATCAGCACAAGAAGCGTGAGCCTAAAGAAAACAACTCATGCATCTTGACCAGCATTCTCCCGGTTTAGACCGCAAATAAAGATCATTACTATAAATGCAGGCGCAGTCTTCTTCATCCTCGTTCTCGACCTCAAATTCTTCATTATCGGAGCTGGAATCGATAGTTTGAGCAAATTGACTCTGCCTCTTTGGTATCTGCCCTTTTTCTGGAGCTTTAATCTCAGTGCTTTTGGAAATAGGATTTTCTTTGCTATTAGGTTTGCCATCATCAGAAAGCACTTTTTTTACCTCTCTTTTCTTTTTTGCTGCTGGATCTTTTGGTCTATTTTTTTGCAAAAACTTCTTCCATATTTGGAGTTTAAGTTAAAAGCCAATGTCCTTTGACAGGTTTGAGTTTTTCCTTTTTCTTGGCCTCGAACGAAAAGCCCCTGTGGCACTGGCGAAATTATTGTAATTGGAAATTCAAGTGAATTTGATGTGCCTGGTTTCACAACATCATCTAGTGTTCCCAACTGTATGAGATTTCTTCACAATTTGGTACTAAATCTGCATCCTCCGAAACACGTCCTACTACATCGGTACTATGTGGTGCTCTACTACGACACACTACGTCATTTTGTCCAGCGTATAAGTGTCATTTTGCCCAAATGTACACAGCAAACATTAAAAATCATATTTAATTAAATCGATTGAAAATTGTATTACAGTGCACCCCCGATAATCCGACCCCTGGCTAATCCGGCACCCCCTGTAATCCGACATAGTCTATTATTTATTATGTATTGAATATTTTTTTGACAATCTTCCCTAATGTATGATTGAACAAGTTATAACAACCACTATTGTGCTCGACGCGTAGAGTATTGTTTTGATTCTGATTGCTTAGTTTGAATTTGACTGCATGTGATGAAGATAGCGGTGCGGTCTAGCGTGTGTTCATTGTTTAGTGTTAGGGGGTCTTAGGCAGTACTCTATAATACGATAAATTCGCTAATCCGACACTTTTCTGCAAACTGTTTGTCGGATTACCGGGGGTCCACTGTAATACTAACTCAAATCACAAGTTTATATCATAAGCCTTTAATTTTAGTAAATATAATATACAAATATAACACAAAACACCAAAAATCAAAATAAATCCATTAATTAAATAAATTTTTGTGAATACGAAAGATGTTCTCATTCGTAACTTCAAAGAGGCTGACCCAATGGCGCTGGGTTTCGTGCACGTTTGTAAAAATGGCCGCTGTCACGTGTTTTCATGTTCGTGCTTCGCTATAGTCCGCCAAATTCGAAACAAACCCGCTATGTCGTTTTGTCCGTATTTCCCCTAAGTGTTGGTGACACTACCTCCTGATCAGGATGATTCCAACTCTCTTAGCAATGTAAGTGATTTTTGTTAATTTTTACGGTGTATTGATCCGCATTGAGAGAAAGATCCTTTTTATATAAACGTTTTCGTTCAATTTCCATTTGTCATTTTTTATCTATGTAAATTACCTGACAACAAATTCTAAATCTATTTGTAATCGCCGTATTGTCTTTTTGAATTTCATATTCGGTTTGCTTTACTATATAATGAAGTTGTTATTGTTTTCCAATCTTGCCTTTCTTATCATCTTAATACCTTACTCCCAGTCACGATAAAACAATAAAAACACATTATAATCAGATAATTAAAATAGATAATTACTAGATTGGCCTGATTTGGTAAAATTATCTAAAAATATTCACAAGGTGGATATTGAATAACATCGTTACAGAAGGTAACGGTAAACAGCAGAACAATTTCGAATGTTCGATAGGAAAGTCGTAAACCGATTGAAAGGTATGACGAGACTGCTTGCTTATGCTTGCTGTGTGACAGAATGGAAAGCAAGCGGGTTTTGTACAAAAATGATAGAACTAGTGGCGTATTTCGGGCGTTTGATCGTAGCTTATAGAGCATTCGGGGGAACACCAGTTTGACTGCGTCTGCGCATGTCTTTGTCCAGGTTTCTCTGTGGTTTACTGTCTACAGTCTTCATCTCTTCCTTCCCTCCCTAACCACAACCCTCCGCCCTTTCTTTCTTAGCACTTTACATTAGATCGCACATTGCTGTTCAGAAGTAATCTTCCGTTTTGTCATTTTGGACGCACAATTTACTGTTCGTTTCAAGAAGTTAGAGATATGCCCCTTCCTTTTATTAGGATGCGCCGTAGCATAATTCCAAATTCAATCATATTTATCTGCGGAGCTCATTTCTCCACCGATCAACTAGACAAAAGTGTACAGTACCATTTGCAAAATTACNACCGATCATCGAGCGAGAACTAGACAAAAGTGTACAGTACCATTTGCAAAATTATTTAAACTGCCTCATTAAAATTTAAGAATATGCTTTATTTAAAAGCATATTTAGTCAAAAATAATAACAAGTGAATTAAATTAACTTAACGTTCTACAAACATATAAAACTTTTGCTTTGTTTTCTATTGTTAATTTATATACATTTTTGTTTTAAGAAATTGCTAAACATTTTCGTCTAGTACTGTACAGTTCTAGCCGATCTCCTAAGACCGCCCATCGAGAGCTCTGCTCGTTCAATCTTGTTCCAGCTATTTCTGTCTTGCTCGCGCCTAGTGTGTATTTTTTCTATCTTCGAGCAGATTTCTTCGAGGTCACAATTGTAACCAATTGAAATGGGCTGTAGGAGCAAACGATCGCACGAATATCTACTACACCTTGAAGTTATTAAAATTTTCGCTTTTAAGTGTTAATGGTGTTATTAAATACAAGATCAATAATTGTAAATGGTCAAATAAGGTTAGGTGTGGAAAGAATTGTTAGGTTAATCTGCGTCCAAAGCTTGTAAATCATAACACGTGCTAGGCAGATAATACGAAATGTATGTCACAGTTCAATTGTTATTGATAAATTGGCATCGATTTGGTTTCAATATCTTAAAGATAGAGCACATAATAATAAAACAATTGAGATTATTTTCTTGATTTTATGGAAAAGCGAAATTAACGCGTTAATATAAATTACAACTATTTGATCTCCTTTTTGTTTATTTATTTATTTTTTGATTACAGCCGTCACTTTATAATTAAATTATTGAAATATTCAAATATTATCTTAATACACTAAAATTTTATTAACGATACGTGCTTACAAGACTTATGAAACTAATAGACATCGTGGATGAATTGTTTTTGAAAGTTAAAGTTTTCTTTAACTCTGGTTTTTCCGTTTGTCATACCCAAAATGAGAATTTTAGTGGTCACAACGATTCAAGTACACTGTAAAAATTAAATATTGAATTAATATTTAACATTTAAATCTACATCTTAGCAGAAAACGAAAAAAAAAAAAGCGAAGCTACTAAATTATTGAAACTATACGTTAAGAATTCGAAGAAAAAATTATTATTCATTTCAAGATAAGAATTAATGAGTATAGTTGGCAGGAGTTCTGAAAATCGGAGTCACCAATTGTGTTTATAATGGCAGGAATATTACATTTAACTAAACAAGTACCTAAAATTTTTGCTTTAACAGCTTATTTCTAATCTGTTTTTCGTTTTAAGGTTAGGAAAGTTTCAACCGCTCCGGCAAAGATGAAGCATTTTCGGGTAATGCCGCCATTTCGTTTTCATTGTACCGTTCATATGTGACCAACATGTAAGAATATTCTGTGTTTAAATATATTCTTTTTGGTTTCATATTTTCACACTTAACTTATTTTTATATTTTGTGGTAATAGCAATAATTTTGCAGATTATTACGTGCAATTGACCTGTCTACGTACCAGCTGTTGCGAAGGTCACGAATAGGTATGTGTGTTTCGTCGGCTGAGTCTATCGAAATCGATAGGCGATGTGATAACGCGGTGTTGACGGAGGTACATTTTATGCATACTTTTTACATCCCCTACGTTGTGGTGCTATCACGAGATACATTTTATACTACCTCCAGATGTTACCTTTTAAGTTTTCCGAAATACTGATTAGACAAAGTGTATACATGACACACGCGTTCGCCCGAGAAGGCTAGAGATAGAAGTAGAGAGTGTTTACTAATTTCTCTAAGACGTTGCCCAACCAACTTGATACGTAAGCAAGGTTTTGTTTCACAACTTCTATTAACGCAGCATCCTTTACGTTATTTGGCGTTTATCAAAGTCACTCTCTTCTGGTTATTATTGAACCTATCTCTAAGTAGTCTGTTTACTCCAAGGAATAGCAGGTAGCCAATAGCCAAAACTCTCGCCTTAATCATGCCCAACCAAGCCTGATAAGGCATCCTATCAACGTATTTCGCCTGTTTGTTATTAATTTCTATAACGACCTCTATTTTTCTATTGTTTCTAATACCTATCAAGGGTATTTTCAACATTTCAAACCTTTTCTTTATTTCAAAGACTACCATATACATTTCGTACTAGTACAGAACCGTACTCCAAACTTACACCCTTAATAATGGTTTTGGAATTTCTAAATTAATCGATCTCGAACACAACAGTTCTTTCTTTCCTGAGTTATCTCACTCCCTCTGTATCTAAAATCAGGGATTTGTTCTAGTATATCATCTTCCTAATCTTATATTAGCTCTAACCCTACTTTTACATTCCTTACATACTAGTACTTTTATTTTATTTTTAGTAATACTTATATCATACTCTTCTATCAACACCGCTTCCTATTTTATTTCAAACTAATTCTAACTCTCTTGCAAATTTAAGCATGCTAATCCTTTACCCTTGTATAATATTAATCGCATCATTCATATACAAATCAATAAGTAGCGGTGACAATGTACATCTTTTCTTTTCTAACTCCTTTCCTCATATTTACTTTTCTATGATGCTGATCAAATTCAATAACTACTTCTAACCTTACATTTTATCCCTATCTCCTTAAGTATTTCTAACATTGTCGAAAGATTTTCTAGACCTACGAATCCTATGTAGACTCTCTTTCTTCATATGCTTCACGCTTTCCCTGTTTCTTCTAAACCCGAATTGCTTTTTCGTTCTATTTTCCAACCCTTGTACGATTCTAGTTCAAGATTTTTAACGCATGGAATTCTCCTGCAAATTTTGAAGACAATAGGGAGAGTGCAGTTTTCAAAACTCCAACCGTATCTTTAATTTAATGTTTAATTAGCAATCCGCGACAAAGATTCAAATAATTTGAAAAAAAGAATTAGATGAAGAAAATTGATAAATACTAAATGTAAAGAATTATACAGCTTAAAAATAAAAAAGGTAGCTAATGATAACATTACATGAATATTTGTCTCTGTTGTTTTTCTTCGGCAACTGGTTTTCAACAGCAACAACATGGGCCAGATCCTACTCTGCACAGAGCCAAGTAGTTAAAGAAATCGTAAAACGAATAACAGTGATAAAGGAAATATTGCGGGGATTTGTACTCCGATCCCGCTCGTTTTGACACCTTTTCTTCATATTCTGGATCACATACTAAAATGTATGGCAAGTCAGCGAATATACCATCCCGATATTCAGCTAAAATGTTTAAAATCAGGCGTAATATTGCTATTAGAAAACCATATAAAAAGCTGGATTAAAAGGTAGCTCATGTATAAAACTGCATTCTAAATAGTTTAAAAGCAGGGATAAAAATGAACGGTAAGTTTTGTAAATGATTGATGAAAATCCGACAAATTTTTTGGGTCCATACAATCATTTACGAGACTATACAAAAGATTACTAAAGTAGTTGAAGAGTACTCTTATAGAGTAAGTCGCATTCAGCAAAAATCTGTTTATGGCAGCATTTTTGTTAATAGATATTAGTTTTCCAGATTTTTCTCAAACATGGGACACTACTAAAAGAAATAGTAGGCCCAGTATCAATTAGTTCCAAAGATGCAGTACCTTCGCCACTTCGTTGATAATTGCCCATACCAGAAACATCTGCAGTTCCCCATTTATTTAATAATTATAAATATCTATAGAAGATTCGCTAGTATAGGTTGTATTACAGTAATAATTAAGGTACATTTGGACAATATGACTCGGACGTAAATAAGGTTCACCGATTATTTTTTGTATACTGGCTTTAATTGATGTATTTTACCGGAAATGTGTGAGATCCGTCATTGTATATAATTCCTAGGAAATGTGTGAAATAAATTACATTAGACACATTTCTTAGTAAATCTGTACATTTCCTAAGTACCAATTGGAAATGTATAAAAGGTAATACTAAATAGTCAATAATACGGCAGGTTGTTTAGAGATGTACCTAGAGATTTATGACAGGCTGGAGTTTCTTCAATGCTCCTGCCCGCCGGAGGAGGGCCGATATGTTAGATGTTAGAAGAATGTGACGACTTTGTTTCTGCAAACACGATGACCTTGAATTTAGTATGCTGCAGATGTGATAATGCTGATAGTTTTCGAAGACATTATTCCATCATCCTCCGGCGGGCAGGGGCATTATAGAAACTCCAGTCCGGGTCCCTGGCACCATTGCTCTACTACTAAGCTAAGAGAGACGACAATAGCAACATCGACAATCTTGCCTAACTACGAAGGACACAGAATCGTCGAACCAATCTAAAATAGTTATTAACAATTAAAATTGTAGTCGTTGTTGCTGATGTCACCTCTCGTAGCTTAGTGGTAGAGTAATGGTGCTTAAAGCCTACAACTCGGGTTCTATTCCGAGCGAGGAGCATTAATTTGAGGTTATTTGTAGTGGTAAAAATTAGTTCACATTAATGAGATATTTTAGTTTGTGATAAAATTAAAAGTAATTACATACTTTTAAATCTATGTTTAAGGATTTTAAAAATTAAACCTCAAATAGGAATTGGTTATAAGGCAGAGATACGGCACAACAACATATTTTTGTACATTTGAATTATATATTTTTAAGCCGAAGGTGGAGAAACTATGTAGAGGAATTCGAGAGAATTGAACTCGAGATATCATGACCGACCTGACCCATTGACTACAAAATCTGTGCGAAGAAGAGTCTATCAACAGAACATTTTAATTTTAATATAATTTGTGTACATTCCAAGAATACAATTTTTGTTCTAGCCGTTAATATTGTAGCGAGCACGAGTGTGTCTGTGTGAGATCGGGCACACGTGTGTGTTAACGGCTTATCGATTCGCCGACTAGCCGCGGGCGCCTTTCTTCATGTGCGCCGTATTTGTAAATACGTGTGTCGTAGCTGCGTTCTGGGAAAGCAGTTAAACAGTTCAAAGAAATAATAAACTATCCGGACGTTTCCAGAAGGTTCCCGAAAGTAAACAAAAGAGTATTTAAAGGAAGAGACGATCGCCGAGAGAAGTAGAAATAAATTAACCGTTGCAGAATTGAATCCAGAAACAAATTGACAGTGATGGCAGTGATATAAATAGCGCAGTGAATAGTGATATATCAACAGTAGTGTAAATAAATAGAATAATTTATATATAATAGTGCTTTTAAGTTCTTTAATAATTAGTGTAAATAAATAGTTTTTGTCGTTATCAGTCTTAGAAGTTAATTTTGTTAAACCCACGAACATTACAATATTATTTCATTTTACTGTTAAATTGAAAGTATTCCACAAAACCCATATGTACCCTATAGTTACTTCGAAACCTTATGGGCATTCAGCGTAGGGTGGATAGACAGATAGCTTCGCTTGTTGCTTGATTCTCTATTAATCTAATCACAATTAAATCTGCCTATCGGGCATTTGATAGCTCATAAGGTTTTGATATACCTAACTTTCGTAGCATTGTATGTATATTTGTATACACATACCTGTTGGAGGTTCATTGCCATCTGAGCAGGTTGAATATTGTTTTACATTAACCAGTCCATCGTTATTACCGATTTCACCAGCGGTGAGTTTTTTTATACCACTGGATAAATTTCTATGAATATTAATTAATACAGTTGTTTGGTTGGCGAAATCACATTGATACTGGCAAGCAAGTATATCCATTCCTAAAAGGCAAATTTGAAATTTATTTGTAAATCACTTAGAAATGGTGTTTCAGCAAGTAAAAGGTCATGAACTTGCTGTCCTTTTCTTAATAATGTAATTGGAATAACGTCACTGTTGACGTCAAATTCAACGTCTTCACATTGGTCATTATCATGGGGTCGTTAGTCCAAAGACTGACTGAACATGCATCTCCACTCCTTATTCCTATCCAAATTTTGAACTCTAATACTGCAATATCCATATCTCTAACTATGTGCTAACAGTAATCTACTCTATGTTTCTTCCTTCAACTAACCCTTATGTCTCAGATGTGTCTGACCTTCCTATCTCTCTGTTTCCTTATTTACTGTTCTCCTACACTTTTCTAATAATTCATCATTTCGCTATTCGCCTTGAACACCACATTTTAATTGAATTTCACTTTCTACTTTCCGCTAATTAATAATGTTTTTCAAATTCATAAAAACCTTTGTTCTAAAATGTGCGCAACTAAAATTTTAACCCCTACGCCCCTACTGATCTATCTTATACATTTGCTATCGGCACTTAGTAGAACGTCGTTGCAATTTTTATTTAAATACCACTTACAACAGACGAAGCTTTCATACTTACCATAAAGGTAACCGAAAGTTTTCCAAATGTTTCTAAGCTGACCAACAATTCCTTCAACTGGTTGAATTGCCATTGTTAAATCACAAACCAAAGTGTCTAAATCGGGTTGTATGCCAGAAAATTTACTTGTAGATGTTTCGTCTATTTCAATATCTTTGTTGACAGAATCGTCTTCATTATAATCGAATTTATTGCCTAAACCGATATCTGTCTCTGTTTTCTTAACGGTGGTCGTTTCTTCGGCTTCTTCAGCATCAGATTCTTCAGCTTCTTCGGCACTTTCAACTTCTTCAGTTTCAAATGCTGTTTCTGCATCATAAGATATTGCATAAGGACTTTCGACTTCAGCTACTTCCTCCTCTTCTTCTTCTTCCTCTTCCTCTTTTTCTTCTTTTTTAAACAGTAAAATGTTAGTGTTAGAAAAGCAGACATTCTGAGAATTGATGAAAACATCCGCTTCTACTAATCGCAACATGGGCTGTGATATTAGCGGCATCGTGTGAAGCTTTTTCTTTTTGAAGCTTCTTAGTATTGATAGACCTTTGAGCTTTTTACCGAAGAAATACGAAGTTAGACCAACTGGTTTCACCACCTGTTCAGGATTACGTGAAAATACTACAGTATTTCTAGCTAACTTGTTGGGAACTTTCTCGAATTTTCTTTGTTTGTAGGGTGAATATTCAATACTTCTGACTTTGTATGTCTCCTCCTTGAATATTTCAGCTTGCTGAGAAGACTTCTCAATGTCGGATTCCAGATTTGTTTCACTTGCATTTGTTTTCGTACTAGGTTTATCGGCGGGTATTTTAGAAATATCAGGTTTAATTTCAATTGCCCATTGTCTTTCGGGTATTTCAAATTCGTTTTTGTTTTCGTGAATATCCGAAAAGGTGCTTTGTTTTCTAACCATCTGTGCATTAGTCGACGTGTCTTCCGTTTTGACTAGATTATCAGTTGCCTTCTTCTTAGGTAAATTAGAAACTACTGTGGAAGGTTTACTTTTCAACATTAACTTTGGTGGCTTAGAAAAAAATAGCAGAACATCTTTGAGTAAGCTTAATGTCCCTTTTGATTCTTTCTTGCTTTTAGTGTTTAATTTTTTGTTTTCGTCAGTCTTCTTGTCTGTACCCTTGGAAATAATTTGTGTGTTACTTTCGGATTTTTTAATTTGATCTTTATCGGGCGATGTTTGTTTTTCAGCTGGTACTTGGTCTTTGCTAAATCTCACAAAAGTCAGAAATGGAATGCTACCGAGAAGTATTTTTTGATTCATTGTTACTAAGTTGCGTGATTTAGACAAGACAAGGTATTGATGTTGATTGGTTTTAGAGGAATGAAGACTAGGATCCACGTTTCTGACATCTAAAAATCACAAATAAAAATAACAAAATTACGTCAGAAATTTGCAAGATGCAGAGAAAAATCTTCTTGTTTTAAGCGAGCCCTGATGACATGACGTTCCGTAAAATCGGTGTCGAAATTTCCTCAATTTACAAAATTTTGTAATTGAACCTCTCCATACGTAATACTTTAATGTTTCACAAGGCGATATAAATTGAATGAGTGAGGTAGTCTACATGAGAAGAAGCATTAATGTCATCAAGTATGGTTGCTTTGATAAAATCAAGGTCAATTCAACTATGTTAGAGATTCAACCGAAAATCAGGATATTATACATTCAGAAAATGATGTCGAATTTTGCAAATGATTATCTTCCTCAGGAGTTCCTCGATTAATTAAGTGAATGATATTCACCAGAAGAACTATTGAATATTCCAACAATGTGCTTTAGAAAATGTCAAGGAATAATACTTCCTGAAGAAGATGGTCGAAAGTCCCCAATAAAAATAACTTGGTCACAAATAATGGCTGCAAAATTAAAGTATGTTAACCTATGGGGCGATTCAATTGAATTGAAGCTAGGGCGGTGTGCTTTCTATCAGTTATGGATATTACTTTTTTTGAGAGTGGATCAGTTTATACGAGGGTGGATTGATAAGTTTCCGGCCTGACCAAGAAAAACAAGGTTTTTAAAAATTTTTTTTTTTTATTTCTCAACATAATCTCCTCCAAGGCTGATACATTTCTCATAGCGGTGTTCCAGTCTATTAATGCCATCTCTATAGACTGATTCGTCAAGCTCCTCAAAATAACCATTTACAGCTTCGATTACTTCTTCATTGTCCGCAAATCTCTTACCGCCAAGCCATTTTTTGAGATTAGGGAACAGAAAATAGTCACTCGGGGCTAGGTCTGGAGAGTAAGGAGGGTGCGGCATCAATTCAAACTTTAGATCGTTGATTTTAGCCGTCGCAACGATTGACGTGTGCGCTGGTGCGTTATCGTGATGAAACAAGATTTTTTTCTTCGCCAGATGAGGTCGTTTAATTTTCACCTCGTGGCTCAAACGTTGCAATAAGTCTGCGTAGTATTGACCAGTGATAGTATTACCCTTTGCAAGGTAATCAATGTATATAATACCTCTTGCATCCCAAAAAACAGTAGCCATAACCTTGTTCGCCGAAAAAATTGTTTTTGCCTTCTTTGGAGTTGGTTCCCCTGGTCCAATCCACTGTTTAGACTGTTCTTTGGTTTCAGGAGTGTAGTGGTGGACCCACGTTTCGTCAACGGTTACGAATCGACGCAAAAATTAGCTTGGATTACGCTTATACAATGACAAATTTGCGGTAGAAATGTTTTTTCGAATCAATTTTTGGTCGACTGTTAGCAAACGCGGCACCCATCTTGCACAGAGCTTTTCCATATGCAAATGTTGGTGCAAAATATGTTGCACACGTTCATATGACATCTTACAGGTCTCAGCTATCTCACGCACTTTCAATCTGCGGTCTCCCAGCACTATTTGATGAATTTTTTCGATCATATCTGGAGTTGTGACCTCAACGGGGCGTCCTGAGCGAGGCCCATCAGAGGTGCTCACACGACCCTTTTTAAACTCGGAAACCCACTGCTTAACGGTTGAATATGACGGGGAGGATGTCCCCAGTGTTGAGTCCATCTCTTTTTTAATTTCCTTCGGCGTTAACCCCTTCAAATAAAAGTATTTGATGACAGCACGATTTTCCTGCTTTTCCATTTTTACGAAAACCACAGAGGCGTCTTGTTCAGCGTGCTGTCAAACCTACACTAGCAAGGAGATCGGGCTGAAACTATAGCTACAAGCTATCCAAGGATGGTACTATAGAATGTCACCTCAAGGTAGGCCTAGTGGCGTCATCTCTTGGTTAGGCCGGAAACTTATCAATCCACCCTCGTATTATAGATCTTTGATCTTTAATACTAACTCATATATATATTGGTCAGTTAATGTTAATAACTTATCACTTACCTTTTGCATGATTGAAAGAAAGCAGCAAGTTGTAGCGGTGAGCTATTTTAGATGTATTGTGCATTAATGCTGGTTTATGTCTTTCGAACTTCGTAATGCTGTTTCTAATTCCTTCTACTTTTGCTTCCACTACATCTAGGACGTGCTTGTTTGTATTTACCATAAAAACCGTTCTATTAGGAACCTTAAAACGCACGAAAGGTAGTATAGTAGTGGAGTGAAGTTCCGGATTATATTTTTCTATTACTAGTCGGAGTTGACCAAAAAATTTCAACGTCATCCAACATATGGTCAAATTTTGCGATAACATAATCGGATAATAGCGGAGATTGTATATCTAAGCAGACGAGCAGCCTACTAGAAACAGAGGGTGAAGGTGCCCCACTTTGTTTTTAAATTACGTCATCGGGATAATGCTTAAAATTATACAGAAATAAAATTATTATATTTAAGATCCCTTGATAATTAAGACGACATTCGATGGCATGAGGGAAACTTCGCATAATGTGAACATTATTTAATTGTGCTAGACTACCGCTGTATAATTGAAATATTTATACATAGTATTAAAATAAACAGTTATAATCGAAAGATGCATCTCAATATTTTCGATCGGAAGGTAGACCCTCTTCAAATTAATTTCAGAAATCCTGGGAATGAGTGGTTTGATGGTGGCTGCGGAGGGACACATGATACAAATGAAATGAAGACAGAGAAATGAGACATTATCTGTGGAATGATTACTGTCCCAGCATTTGCCGGAATTAACTATGGAAACCCCAGGAAAACATAGAACAGTGTGGCTGGTCCAGGAATCGGATCGGTGTCGTCTCGAAAGTCAATCAGTGATCTAGATCTAGACCACTGAATAAAGAAGCGTTATTGTTACAAAATCCATTATTTCAGCAAAATATTTTCAAGAATGACAAATATCTCAGTTTAGACATTTCGCGAACTTTGAAAACTCCACCGTACCACTTAATATATAAATCAAAACTACATGAACCTTCGAGGACTGAGCGGCATGGCCTAGCGGTTTAGACTATTACTTAGCATTCGGGAGGACGCCGATTCGATTCCGCGTTCGTCTGCCTTCGTCCAAATTTTTCTGTGGTTTTCTTGGATCACTTAGGCAAATGCTGGGGCAGCAATATTCCACAGATAATCTGTCATTCTTCTCTGTCTTCATTTCGTCCGTATCATCTTTCTCACCCGCACCTCCACTCAGCCATTTCCACGATTTCTGATAGGAGGCTGAAGAGGGCCTTCCGCTCTACCTTCCGGCGAAGTCTGGAGGGACTGCCCACCCACCAGCATTAGTGGCTGGTTTTACAGAAAGAACCTTTGAGGACAAAATTCCTCATGTCTCGGAACGGTAAGCGGTAGCTCACGTTTTCACACTTTGCCCCCTCACCCTTGCGAAGTTATAACAATTTTTGACCCAGATTAGTGTATTTAACTTCAAAAGGAAAAGTTCTAGTGTATAGGCAAGTTGTGCTACTTAAGTAGTGCGCTTTAGTGACAGGTGCCATAAAACCTGGCGCTACAACATTAAGTACGTTAGCCATACGCAATGAATTTAATAAATCATCATCATCATCAGTCTGGTTGAACACGTACCTCCATTCTTTCCTATCCTGAGCTAATCTTCGCATTTCCTTAAAACCTTCATGCCTGAGAAGGTGTCCTACTAACCTATCACGCCTATTTCTTATTGACTTCCATATAGTCCTCTGTTCTCTTACTATTTTACTTTAACACCACATTTCAAACGCTTCTAACCTTTTCTTTTCCGCCGCGCCCACTGTCCATGTCTCGCACCCGTACAGCCTCATGATCCAAACATACACCTTTAACAACCTTTTCGAATTTCTAAATTAACCGTTCGCGAACATAGAAGTGACTTCTTTTTATTGAAGGCGACTCGACCCTGCGCTATCCTCTGTTTTATATCCTTACTACTCCTTCCGTCCTGACTTATTTGACTTCTTAGATACCTAAAATCGGCCACTTCTTCTAATTTTTCGTCTCCTATCTTTATATTCGCTCTTTCCCTACTTTTCCTTCTCTTGCATACCAGTATTTTTGTTTTATTTTTATTTATTTTCATACAGTACTATTTGTCAATACCGCTTCCATTTTATTTAAAGCTATCTCTAACTCTTCCTTGCTGGATGCTAATACGGCTATATCATCTGCAAATCTAAGCATACTAATCTTTTTCCCCTGGATATCTACCCCTATAGCTGTACTGTCCTTAATGATGTTGATCACGTCTTCGATGTATAGATTAAACTTTAATAAATAATTGGAAATCATTTTAAATATGCAAATATGCACCTACGTGAAGAAAACAGTATGTCATAGTAGTATGGGATGTTAAAATTAAACTACAAGTAACTTACTGTGTACGTGTCATGATTGAAAAAATCATGGACAACATTGGATGCAATTTTTAGGAAATCCTCCCCTTTCTTTTGCGGATGTTGGGGTTGGCTCCTCTGAACGCAATTTTGCATGTTCGGGAAGAAGTTGTGGGGAGTGTCCGTTTTTTCGTTTATGAATGTTACTGAGAACATCGAATTGCATGTCTGACTAATATAACCGACGGGCGCGTAAAGAGAAACGGAACGTAGAGATTTTTCAAGTAATTCTAACATTTTTGCGCGGAAAATGATTATCAAAGAATAATTTTGACAACTATGTTAAACGTACGATGTTTGACAAAAAATTTCAATACCTACTTACACAAAAAGAATTCATTTTTATTCTCAATGCCATCATAAAAGATTTAAAACGAAAGTAAAGTAAAAAAGCAGGTGCAACTCAGTACACGTGAAAGAAGTGAAATTTCTTTGGCGATCTCTATACCTTTATAATGAATAAGTAATGATTTGTGAAAGAGAGACTACGAGAATTTTCAGGATTTATGTTTTCCAGCATATTTTATCTTAAGTTCAACAACTTTAATACGTTTTTATGTAATTCAATAACAAAACAATTTTTTTTCGCTTCCGTTTATTTTTCCATGTGCTTAAGAAACCGTAAACTATCAATAACTACAAGGAATTAGAATTAATACACAATAATACTCACTCTTGAATAAATATTAATTGTTGTTAAATAAATGTTTACTGTAATACACTTACTGTAATATAACTGCACAGATATAAGCAAAAAATTAATTTAGTGTAGTGAATATACACAATAATATATGACATGCCGGTCAACAACAGCTGACTGTAATACCGATATGCGCATGCGCGCCTTTCTATTCTCATAGCCTATCGCGTCACGAGACAAAACGTTGCAGAACGTGTCGTTTCATGGCCTTGAGATTTTACTCCCATCGAGCCCAAAGAAGTTTCACTTCAAAAAGAAAGAGATGTATATGATGAGGAAATACTTATTAAAATATGGTAAGAATTGAACTTGATATGCTGATGGTACCTAGTGTGGCGTTTATTGCCACACTCGCCCCTGTCAGTCTTGTATATTTTGTGTTCTGTAAATTTTGTATTCTTATGTTCCATATTTAATTTATTGTATACGTGCATTTTTGTTTTCCGAATATGTTTGTCTTTCTGTGTATACTTTTATCTTCCGTATCTAATTCTATCATGAATCTTCGCTTTCAAACTTTTACTTCTTATCTACCCTTTTTTTATTTTTGTTAAACATCTCTATTTTCATTTTCACTAACTTACGTCTAAACTGTTCTTTTATCAACCCTTCTCAATAGTGCTCTTTTCGTAATTTTGAGATTTCACTTTTCTTTTATGTATTTTTAATTTATAGCTTTTTGCTTTCAGACTCGTCTATTCTTTTTAAATTCTTTACAAATCCTCTTCGAACCTATCCTATTGTGTACTCTCTCTCAGTTGGTGTTATTCGAAACTTCACGCTCTCACCTAATTACAGAAAGTGGCCCTTTCCAAAATCCTGTCCAGTTACACATTTTTACGTAAACTACCTTAATCACGATCATCTCCTTCATCCACTTTCCTGGTATTTCATCGAATAACACCAAACGAGAATCCTCCGTGAAAGTTCGACTACTCACTTTTTATAAACCCTTAGAAAAACAGAACGCGCTATCAGTTATCTCTAACAGACTCTGTCTCCGCTTCCGCAATTACGGAAGTTCCGCATACATTCTCACATCCGCTTCTGCATTTGGTTCTGCATTTTTATAACGGAAGCATATCGGAACTCAACAAATTCTTATCTTTTTGAAAATCAGTACATCGGAACAATAAAGCAAGTCGTAAAAATTTACTATTTTTGTCTGTTGGCTGAACTTGACCGTTTTCAAAACAATTTAAATGGAATTGCTCGTTGCAAAGTTGCATGTTGTGCAGGTACCTGCGCCAGCTTACAGCGACCCCTCTGTAACATTGTGAACGTATTATTATTTAACAACCGTTATATTTATGCATGTATTAGCGTCAATGCAGTGTTATAGCAGGCAGAATTTTGTTAATAATAATATTGTTCCTGTCCAAATAACTTTAATATAATTTAGGGCCAAAATATATTTCCTAGTATTGTTGATATTTTCCAAATTTTATTCTTATATTCGTTTCCTACTTTTATCGAAAAACGTCCAGGACTTTCAGCCACACCTTAACCAGTTCTAATAATTATACCGTTAACAGTTATACCGTTTATTTATTTTGTACAGTGTTTGTTGAGTGGTGCAAATTTTAAGTAAAAGTGCTATGTTGAAGCCAAATTTGGGATTATTTTATTGATATTAACGATGCAAGTGCTATAATTTGTAACAATATATTCGCGAAAAGGGCGTACGACTATTGCATTAAAGAGTTACCTAAAATCATTACACTTCCTCTTCCGCAAAAATTTACTATGTACTTCTGTTTCCGCTTCTGCTTTCGTTATGACATTTCCGTTGTATCTTCTACTGCACAACATGCAGCATTGCAACGAGCAATTCCATTTAAATTATGTTTTGAAAACGGCCAATTTTAGCCAACAGATAAAGTTTTACGACTTGTTTTATTGTTCCCGATGTATTGGTTTTCAAAAAGATGAGAAATAAGATTTTGTTAGGTTCCGATGAGCTTCCGTTATAACAATGTGGAACCAAACGCAGAAGCGGATGTGAACATGTACGCGAAACTTCCGTAATTGCAGAAACAGAGGTCTGTTGTAAAATTAGTAGGTATACTTCATTTACTTTCTCTAGCGATGTGCCCCTTCCAATGTTTCCAAAAAGCTCATTATACTCTCGACTCCTGTTCATTAAACATACTTTTTCATACAGTACCTACCAAAAGTTATGTTCAATCATGAATAGTAGTGCGAGTCGAAAACAACCGTTAAAGCCTTTAATATGTCTTCAAATATAAATAAACATCTTATTGATATTATCAGTAGTAATTGGTACTAATAACAGCACATTTGAGCAATGCAATTTTAGTGGATAAAATGGTCAATTTTTCCGTGCAGCACTTTACGGATTATACGCTCCCCGCCGGTTAAGATTTTGGCCGAGAGTTGTCTCCTTTCTTTTCTGGCCTAGTGCTGTTCTTTTCTACTTTGCAGCGGTCAAACTAAAGGTCACATCGCTAGCGAGAAACTAAACGAAGTATAGTATAGGTATAGCACTTACCTTTATGTTTTAGGTTATGTAATATACCAGCTAGCACGAAGCAAAAAATCTTACGTTTATTTTTTCTGCCGCACATACCCCACCTACTGTTTATCGTTATCGATTTTCATCATTTTACCATTCGTACAATGACTGGGTAAACTTTTAATCTAGAAGAGCCGTTCGCAATAAAAATATTGTTTCATGAATTTTAAAGAGCCACGAATTTTTAATTCGACTTTTACGTTTTCTTTCCAATTTCTATCGGATAAAGAAGTGGTAATTAAATAAAAAGGGTGGGGGTCTTATATATACACTCTTCCTATTTTAGGTATACCATCCCTTCTGCTTTAGCTTTCATTTTTTTTAAAGGAGCATGAAGAGCCGCAATTGTCTCTTGAAAGAGTTACGATTTGCTGATCTCTGGACAAGGATACAGTTGACGTCGGTGAACTGATTTTAATTGTTTTTTTATTGTATGAGCTAGCTCTCAAGATTGGTTCCATTTCAATTTGAAGATTATTTTCCACCTCTAAGGGTGCAAAATTAGGGGACAATTCAATGATCATAGTAGTTAAAGTAAAAAACAAATGTTTTATTATATCATTTATTTTTACTAAATGTATATATATCACGATCAAGTAGTAGACAACATAAGCAATATATTGGAATAATTTAACAAAAAATAAACGTCGTTAAACATTAAAAGAGATGCACAATCGCTTATTATACACGTTTTATATATTGACTAAGTAAATTACGTTCCACTTTAAAGTAAATACTTCTTATAAACAAAATTCCTAAATGGCAGCATCGGCTTCACGGAATGTTAACGTCTCATTCCCGTTTGCACCAAAGTAATAAATAAAGGAACGTTGTTCTGAGCTTAACCATATCACGTTCAGCAGCATAAGAAGCACACGTGCTCTTCAAGAACAGAAGTTTCTGCGTCTGTTACTTCCTTTTCAATTCTTTCAACGCTTTTTAAGGATACACCATTAACCGTTGAAGTTTCTGTATTTACCACCGCGTGATTTTATTCTCGTCATTTGAATGAAATATATATAAATAATAACCTCACGGGTTTGATTTTCGAGGTATTTGTTTCCCAAATTTGTCATTTCTCTTTCAATAGACAAACTAACAAAATCGAATAAAAGAAATTCGAAGTGGTCTGTATTCTGTCGAAACTGTCAGACACGGATCGCGATTTCGATCTTGTTGGATCTCATCAGCGCGACGCGGACAGTTTCGACAGAACACAGACCAATTTTACCTGTTGTCTTAACAGCGCGTTTTACAAAATCCCACAAATGGCGCGGTAAACACCATCTGTAGTAGTAAGTTTCGCTTGCATTCACTGCAAAAGTTTATTCGATTGCGGAAATCTCCGGGATGTAATTCTTGGTGCAGATGCATATGGTAGTAGTTAAACTTGTATTTGTGTAGAATTCTTCCAACTAAAGTGCAACTTACAGCTATGTCCCAATGTTTTTTTCTTGCAGAGGTTGTAGTTTCTTTTGAATTTTCTTCTACTCGCATAAGGGTTCTCTCTGATTTAGGTCAATACGGAGAACTCATTTTCTTCATTAAAACAGTTTTGTTTCTTTCACGTTTCAGGTACTCTACTGATCCAGTTCAGTAAATTAAGAAATGTAACCTTCTGTGGGTGTCACTGCCGCTCTGGAATTTGTGCTTTATAGGTTCTACTTGCATATGCAAATAGTTTTTATCACATTCATCGAGAACTAAAACCGTATCAATTAACATAGTTCAAGAGAAATCACTCATTTTGGACAAAACGTCTATCCTTTGGTTATCAAAATAACCTTTATTTTCAACGAAGAATGTAAAAATGCAGTAATATGCAGGGTGTTCACTTTGAAAAAAAGAAGTTAAGTGGCGTCCAGGCGAAATGGTATACACCCTGTATAATCGAAAATACATATTCTTAGAGTATGAGTGGGTTCATTTGATAAAATTTTTACTTGAAACATATTTTCATAAAATTAATAATAAAGATACCATTTTTCATCCACCCTAAAAGACAACTGTCCCTGTCGTTTCATCAATGCACAATTCTTTTCGAAGCCTAAAGTGGGTAGATACTTGTTTCAATTCCATTCATAAAAGAATAGTTAACAGTGATTTCATTTCTTCTCTATCAGTGTCTACCCACTTCTGAATTCTCGCCTTTGGACTAGAACCATCTTTATTCAAGTTCTGACGGCCATATCAGTTAGTTTTCCTTACTACCACCTCCAAAATTTCATCATTCAGGTCGAGGTCCAAGAATTCAAAGGGCTGTTTATCATATGAGGAAGCGTTTTGAAGTTAGCGAAATGTGAGGTAAGAAGTGAAAAGAAAATTTATTTTTCCTTTTCAATATATTCACCTGCTACCCTTACACATATTTCCGATCTTTCAATTGACTTAAGTATACCTTCGAAATAAAATGTTTTGTCTTTGTCTGAAAAATATACCGAAACTGCATTTTTCACTTCTTTGTCGCTTGAAAAGTCTTCTTACGAAGCTGGGAGCTAGGTCAGGACTGTAGGGTGGGTGAGCCAAAATTTCTGCAAGGCAGCCATCGCAACACGGCGCTTGTGAACAGGTGCGTTGTCGTGCAGGAGGACACCTTTGGTCAATTTTCCTCTTCTTTTTTATTTAACTGCTTCTTTTAACTGCTCCAGGAATGAAGCATAGTATTCTCCGGTTAAGGAGATACTTTTATCCTTAATATCGGTCAACAGGATACTTCTGATTCCCAAAAGACTGTCGCCATGATTTTCCCAGCCGACTGTTGTGACACCTTAAACTTCTTGGGTGGTGGTGTGCCTATTTTGTCCCCCGTAACAATTCGAGTCATTACTCCATCTTTATCTTCATTACAGAAGTCCAAAACGCGCGAAAATACTTCACACGCTGTCGTTTTTGAGGCGGAGTGAGCATTCTCGGGACCCATCTTGCGCTGACTTTATTCATGTGAAGAATTTTAAAAATGGTTGTATTTGATACTTTCACCATTTCTGCGAGCTATTTCTTCTTAAGTGAGGCATCTTCCAATATTAATTTTTCGACTTTTTGAATGATTCCCGGAGTGGTCACGTCGATCGGCTGGCCTGACCATTGGTCGTCTTCAAATGAGTCCCTGACTTGCTTAAAGAGGGTATACCACTTGCAAACCATGGTTTCACCTGAACAAGAGTCCCTGAAACGGATAACATCTCTTCCTGTATGGTTTGAACTAATTTTCTTTGCTTGGTAAGGAACTTTATAACAGCGTGGTACTCGATTTTCTCCATATTTCATAATTTGTTCCCGACTAACTTGTTTCGTCAACGATAGTTTAAAGACTACTGACCTAATTACAATAAAACTTAGTATTTATACTAATAATGAGTCGCTTTATTCGTAATGACTCNAAAAATTTTTTTTTTATTTATGAAGTAATAAAAAAGTGTCTCCCCCACCTTCTGATATCTAATTCTATTATGTAGAGTGATCTGAAATTGATGAAAAAATTTTTGGAGCGAATTCTGGACAATTACCTGAAATTGAAGGTATATCATAACCTCAATTTTGTACTTCACGAGATACCTATATTTTTCACTGTTTTTTATTGTAATGGGTCAACAAATGTCTTTTCATGTGTCCATTATCAACAAACGCTTTCGAACAGACCTCGCATTCATATGGTTTTTCGCCTGTGTGAGTGCGTACGTGTCTCCTGAGGCTGTTCCCACTCGCGAACGACTTATCGCACGCCAGACACTTGTAAGGTTTCTCGCCCGTATGCGTACGCACGTGGACCGTAAGATCGGGTTTATGTCGGAATGTCTTTTGACACACGTCACACGCATACGGTCTGCTGTCGGTGTGGATCAACGCGTGACTCTTTAGATTGTGATTTTCTCGGAAACCTTTGCCGCAAACGTTACATGTGAACGGACGCACGTTAGTGTGTGAGCCCAAGTGACGTGTGAGATGAGCACTTGAAGTGAAATCTTTGTTACAGAAGGTGCACTTGTATGGACGATGACCATTGTGATACCTACAAGAAATGACACCATAAAAATCACATAGTTATGTTTGCTGTGTTACTGAAGATGATAGAAAACCTATATTATTAGATGATGGTTTTAATGTGCAACTAATAATCGTTCTACGTAATAAAAATGTTATGATGTCTTCCCTACAAATCCTTCCCACATTTTTCCACTTTTTTTTTTAATCTTTAAGATATGTATAGTAAAACAATTGAAGAAACGTAGTTAGGTTCCTAACTGTTCCTCACTCGGTTCTTTTATCGAAATTAGATCCCACATCCCATCCCACAGCTATGTTAAGGCGAAGCACGCACTCAGGAAGTTTCAAATATTGAACGACTTCACCACATAATATTACCTTAGAGCCCATAGAGCCCATTTGGCCCAGTGTATAAATATTTAGAAACCAACTGCCAAATAGAAACAAAACAATGTTTAGCGACTTATACAACTTTCATTTAGTAAGTTTCATAGGGTTTCTATTGACACTGACACACGTAACATACAGAAAAAAATAGACAAAGCAGTCTTAAATAACATTTCAATAAAACTCGTTTTTAGAAAGTACGATTAGCCTAGCAAGAAAAACAAACCAACAAATCAGTATTACTAAATATACATTCTAATAAAAATAATAACAATAAATAAAACAAATATTTCATTAAACCTTTAAATCAAATTAACTAATTCATGTGTGTAAACAACTAATAAGTACCTACAATTAACAAAAACCACATTGTTTTTGTCGAAACAATCTTACTATTGACAAATAGATCTTATAGGTTAAGGGATAATCAGAGCAAAAAGTTGAACTTAAATAAGTGTTACACTCAAAAATTTGACAAAATCAAACTAATACTGGCGAAACTTTGCATATTTAAAGATTTAAATTAAACGCGTATTTTCTGTTCTAGTTCTCCCTTAGCATATCTATTATTATTTGTTGCCAAAACCTTTAAATGGATCGTCAACATTGGCACAGGTAACATTTGCAAACAAAAAAAATAAAAATACAGGATGGCATTCGACACCTAATATCTTTTGTGAAATTGGATAATTATTCAGAATTGGGTCTCCAGACCAAAATCGCTCCAAAAATTGTAGAATTTAGAATTAGATATTAGAAGGCGGGGGAGACAGTTCTTTATGACTTCATAAATAAAAAAAAAATTTTTTGAATGTTGATTTTTCAAAATTCAAATCACAGTTCTAAACTGTAGGTAGAGAAAGAGATGGGCGGAAGGGGGGCTGTTAAAAGTGATACAAGCTTTTAATATATCCTCATCTCCCTATTGTCACTGCATAAAATTCTTTTATTAATATTTAAAGAAGAAACTGCTATACATACACCATATACCCTATGATGTATGCTGTAATAAAAAAAAACTGTGTCTCTCCCGCCTCAAATATAATAATTGAACTCTCAGAAATCGATGAAAAAATTTTTGAAGCGATTTTGGTCTGGAGCCCCAATTCTAGAAATTGTATGAAATTCCGATATTGTACTCGGAAATGTATAAAACTAATGCTTTCTGTGAATAAAATACTCTGACATAACAGCAGGAGCATTAAGGGTGTGTTCCGAAATATAACCCAGGATACTGACCAGTGCTGATGACGTAATGAATCGACGCCATACTGTTGATTCGTTCCGAAATATACTGGCCAGTGCATTGATGTCAAATTGACGCCATATTGACAATAGTGTTTGTGCTCGTTTACAATAATTTTGCTCTAAAAGTTATTAAAGTTTCTTAAAATAAAAAATTCCTCAAAGTCTGATGCACACACGTCCGTTTGATATACTACTACATGGTGGCACACCAGTACAATATGGCGTCGATTTATGACGTCATCAGCACTGGCCAGTATGTTGGGTTATATTTCGGAACACACCCTAAATAAACTCCAATCTGTCATTACCTAACCAAACAATGACGTTACCAATGCAGGTAATTATCTATAATTGGGACAATTTTGAAAAATTATCATTCAAAATTTTTNTATGAGGAAGCGTTTTGAAGTTAGCGAAATGTGAGGTAAGAAGTGAAAAGAAAATTTATTTTTCCTTTTCAATATATTCACCTGCTACCCTTACACATATTTCCGATCTTTCAATTGACTTAAGTATACCTTCGAAATAAAATGTTTTGTCTTTGTCTGAAAAATATACCGAAACTGCATTTTTCACTTCTTTGTCGCTTGAAAAGTCTTCTTACGAAGCTGGGAGCTAGGTCAGGACTGTAGGGTGGGTGAGCCAAAATTTCTGCAAGGCAGCCATCGCAACACGGCGCTTGTGAACAGGTGCGTTGTCGTGCAGGAGGACACCTTTGGTCAATTTTCCTCTTCTTTTTTATTTAACTGCTTCTTTTAACTGCTCCAGGAATGAAGCATAGTATTCTCCGGTTAAGGAGATACTTTTATCCTTAATATCGGTCAACAGGATACTTCTGATTCCCAAAAGACTGTCGCCATGATTTTCCCAGCCGACTGTTGTGACACCTTAAACTTCTTGGGTGGTGGTGTGCCTATTTTGTCCCCCGTAACAATTCGAGTCATTACTCCATCTTTATCTTCATTACAGAAGTCCAAAACGCGCGAAAATACTTCACACGCTGTCGTTTTTGAGGCGGAGTGAGCATTCTCGGGACCCATCTTGCGCTGACTTTATTCATGTGAAGAATTTTAAAAATGGTTGTATTTGATACTTTCACCATTTCTGCGAGCTATTTCTTCTTAAGTGAGGCATCTTCCAATATTAATTTTTCGACTTTTTGAATGATTCCCGGAGTGGTCACGTCGATCGGCTGGCCTGACCATTGGTCGTCTTCAAATGAGTCCCTGACTTGCTTAAAGAGGGTATACCACTTGCAAACCATGGTTTCACCTGAACAAGAGTCCCTGAAACGGATAACATCTCTTCCTGTATGGTTTGAACTAATTTTCTTTGCTTGGTAAGGAACTTTATAACAGCGTGGTACTCGATTTTCTCCATATTTCATAATTTGTTCCCGACTAACTTGTTTCGTCAACGATAGTTTAAAGACTACTGACCTAATTACAATAAAACTTAGTATTTATACTAATAATGAGTCGCTTTATTCGTAATGACTCGAGTAAGTACCCTCACAAATGACCTAGCTACGCATTCCGCGAACTTAAAAACGAACACTCGTAACAGTGACTTTATTTCTTCTGTATCAATGTCTACCCACTTATGAATCCCCGCCTTTGGACTGGAACCACCTTTATTCACATTCTGACGGACATATCTCCAAAATTTCATCATTTAGGATGAGCTCGAAGAATGCAAAAGGCTGTTTATCATGCATAGCAAAAAGTCATTTTGGATACTAAAAGATATACTTTTTAGACTCTGACCATCTATATTTCTCCAAGTTACAGATATATTACCTCAGGTGTCAGAGTCATCTTCTTATCCTCTTCCTCTGAGGAAGTACGTAATGAGATTTTAAGCAATTAAATTTTCAATGGTCTCAGTTACTGTTCTGGGCATTTTGCTTTGGAGATATTGCATTCTGGGTCTCCTTATATTAGGGGAACTTTCAATGTTTTTATTTTTATGTTTTAAATTGTCATCCATTTTTTCACCAAAAAGAAATTCATCCATCGACATTTCTAACTTTAATATACTGACCCGCATAACCCAATTTTTGGGGATCCATTGCGGCGCTCAACGTGAAATCTTAACCTCACAAAATCCCTATAAATCACTAACTTTTGCCGTTGTTCTTAACTAAACAGTACTTAATTCTGAATTGGTACGCAGCGCACAGTGCAAACGAATTGAGGATAAAGCAATGAGGCTTATGTTTAAGTTTAATCAGCACTTTTCTAGTACATCTTTGTTTATCAACGATGCAAATGGCCATTAATCTCTCAATAGTTGTACAATCAATGTGAGTACAAGAAGTATTTACGATACAAACTCGTTGTTTTTAATTATGGCTTTATAATGACATAATTAATTAGAAATTATATAAAAAAGTTGACAAAAATATTTTATTACATTAAATCATATCACGACAAACATGTGTATATTTTGATTCAAAAACAAAACAACTAGAAATAAATAATTCCAAATATAATTTTAATTCATATCATTTGATTTATACCGGCAATATTCTAGCTTTAAATAACATTTCAATAAAACTCGTTTTTAGAAAGTACGATTAGCCTAGCAAGAAAAACAAACCAACAAATCAGTATTACTAAATATACATTCTAATAAAAATAATAACAATAAATAAAACAAATATTTCATTAAACCTTTAAATCAAATTAACTAATTCATGTGTGTAAACAACTAATAAGTACCTACAATTAACAAAA